TTTTTCCATATGCCTCTAGCTTGTCGTCTGTCGTCTGATGCTTAGGCTCCGTTATTTGTGATTTAATATGTGTAATCATATTTTTAATGATAACGTGCACAGGTTACCATAACAAAGAAAAGTAAAATTAGTAGAAGTAAATTGTACAGTTTGTGCTAGGACTTAACAGAACAAGAATGAAAATTTATCCGTTAAGGAAAATAATGACGTCATCGGAAAAATGTATTATAAATGGGCGTTGTTTGTATAAACAACGCCCCATGAAGTATTCGTATGAATACTTTGGTAATATACTTCTATTTTTACTTTCAGAGCTTTAGCTACTTTAAGCTAAGGAAGTACTGTAATCGTGTTCATTCGGCGACTGGTTGCTTTCATATTTGCTCGATGGCTTAGTTGTGACCCCTAGTGTACGAAAAAATGAGTCTCGTATTTCCGTCTGTCTGTCTGTCTGTCAGCGGTTCGTGACGATTTTTGTTAGATAATCTCGGAAACAATGGACGGATTGTTGTCAAATTTTATATATGCATTACGAATATCATGTAGATGGTAAAACGTTAACATGGTCCTGCACGTGTGGTTTATGAATCCGTGTTGAGTTTTTACCCGAAACGTCCAGATTTTTGGAAAAAAAAATCAAAAATATATTTGCTTTTTCCCCCACAAATTGATGACGCCACCTCAAAATTTTGCCGAATAAATCCTACCTAAAATATACAAAACATGATACTTGTAATTTATTGTTCCATTCATATTTTTTAGATTTGCTTGTTCACGGCCAATTTTTATAGTTTTTCTAAGAAACTTGACTGGACTGATTATACTTCAGATGTGAGGGAAGTTATGTTTAAATAACGTTGCGCCTATTTTTTTAATTGATATTTGCACATGTGTTCTTTTCGATCTCTTTGATTGGTTTTTAATTATCCTTTACCCTGGGTACAATTTGTTTTTGCGGAATAATAACAATATCAATCCACATATCAGAGCGTTATGCATAAAAAGAGGTAGTCACATCGTAGAAGGGATTCCCCGAAAAATTCCATTTGTGAGCGTCATCTTCAATTCGAGTTATCAAGAAATTTGATTAATCGAAGTTCGAGTAATCAGGAGGTATGAATTACATGTAAGTGTTAACATAACGTTCTTATCTATCAATTTTGTTCCACTTTTGCAGAATATATTTGAAGCACATCATTAACGTGATAAAATGTCTTTCAGCACTAGGTAATAGCAATCTGAAGCGCAAATATTTATTTATGTTTATGCATCGAAAGAATGTCACATAGAAATAAATTTGATTTGAATAAGTTTGTCTTCTCAAAACACGGGATTAAAACTATTAATTAAACTTCAATCAAACAAAATGTTCTGAATATTATAATTCTTATTTTATCATTGTTATTCCAAAGATGTGCTTTTCATATTTTCGAGAAAATGGGGTGACTCCTCTTTAGTTTGACCAATAAAAAATTGGATAATGGATAATACTAGTCACAGCACAAAAGAAAAGTAGTTGCAACGTATTGTCGATGTAAGAAAAATAAATTGACCCAGTCATTAATTTTTTTCAGACACCCCATATAAGCAAATCTAAAAAATATTAATGCGGTGATAACTGATAAATCACAAGTACAGACTCATCATACTTTTGCACATTTAAGATATAATTTTTTCAGCAAAATTTTTGGGTGGCATCATCAATTTTTTAAGGGGGATGAGCAAATATTGATCAAAAATTTACCATGCGTATGGTAACTTTAAAACATCTCCAAGATTTCAAAGCATTCGGTTTTGTAGTTCCTGATTAAATTAATTCATTAATTTTTTGAGTCAACTTGTATATGCAAAAAAAATATGAATAAGTGATAAATCACAAATGCAGAGTCATCATATTTTGAACATTTTTAGATTTATTCGGAAAACTTTTGAGCTGACATCATCAATTTTTTGGAGGGGATAAGCAAATATATATTTTGATTAAAAATTTATTATGCTTATCATAACTGTAAACCATCTGCAAGATTTCAAAACATTCGATTTTGCAGATTCCAAATTAAATTGCAAAATGCTGTTTCATAATTTTGATTTTTTTTTCCAAAAATCTGGACGTTTCGGGTAGAAACTCAGTTCGGAATCATAAACTACATGTTATTTTATACAAATTAAAACCCATTTACTATGTACAATTTTGAAGTGAGGTCATTGCAATATTGCTGGGGATGATTTGACAAGTTTTGGTTAGCGTTTTACCATCTACATATTTCTAACATAAATATAAAATTTGACAACAATTGGCCCAGTACTTTCGGAGATTATCTGCCTAATAAAAATAAAGACGGCATCGGCAGATAGAGGGACAGACGCACAGACGGACAGACAGACAGACGGAAACGGGAGACCTACTTCTTCGTACTCAAGGGATCATGAAAGGTCGAAAAAACGTAAAAGTAGAGAGTCGGCCGACAGACTCGATTACAATACTTCCTTCGCTTACCCTCGGGAAGTAAAATGTTGCTCTAAGGAGTTTAGACAGTAAAGTTAAATTGCAAACTGTTACACAATTTTGATTCTTTTCACAAAAGTTTGGATATCTAGTTTAAAGTCCAATACGGATTCATAAACCACAAGCGTAGGTGTCGGTTATTTTATAAAATTTAAATAACATTTATTATTGTAAAGTTTGGAGATGACGTTATCAAATTATTGCTGGGGTCGATTAGACAAACTTTAGTTAGCGTTTTATCATCTGCACGATATTCACTATACACATTTAAAATTTGACAACAATTGGTTCAGCAGTCTCACAAAGATCGACCCAGAAGACAGACAGGCAGACAGACGGACCAACGAATGGCAAAAGAAAATGGACGATCTATGCTTGTGATTGTACTCTAGGGGTCATGAACGTTGAGAAAACGTGAAAGTAGGCATTCTGTCAACGGACCCCATTATAATACTTCCTTAACATACGCTCGAGAAGTAAAAAAGTGTCTTTAAAGATCTTTTTTCTCAACATATAACACTTTCTTGTTTTTGAAATGAAACACGTCACATCTAAACTACAAATTATATTGATTCGTGAATAATAAATTAATATGTAGATTATTATCATTACGTTGTGAAAGGTAAACAATATTTGTTCATCACGGACAGGGAAGGTTAAATTTTAAATAAATTTTTATTTTGAGAATGACTGAATATGCATTTTTTCACTCATAAAATTAACTACATGGGGATTATGTTAAAGTAGAGCTTTGAATATTTCTTTCATATGTAATTAAAACATTTTTAATTTCTATTACATTTTTTATATATGAGTGTGTTGTATTCGCTAATTTGTATCCTCTTAAAAAGTCTCCGCGTTGTTGCAGTTGGCAGCTAAAAGTCATAACGTAGTCTGAAAACACTATTTCACCGAAATTTTGTTAAGTCAAGACTACCATTAATTTATAAATTGTTTCATGGCCTACTAGAGCATTATGGTACAATACGTATCATATGATCGAAAAAAAACTCCTCTAGTGGGGCGTGCTATTTTATAAATCCGTGAAATAGCACAGGATTTAGAAAAAGAAGCATTTCTAATGATAACTAGTTAGTGTGATTTTAGGTAAAACACTAACTAAAATTTAACTTTTCATATCCATCAAATGTCAACGTCTACCATTTTTTACAGACAACTCTCCTATAATTTAAAATAAAAATCGATGCGTATAATTAAACTACAAAATAAAGTAGCATGCCATGTCTAGTTTCAAGTGAGTTTTTTTTTAAAGAAAATTTTGTGATAACATCATAAACATGTTAGATGCGTTTCATTTTATATAAATACAGTGTAGTACAGTACAATACTGTCACACAAAATCAGAATATCGATTTACGGTTAGACCCAGTAAGTTGTTCAACGTTAAAATTTTGGTGTACATTAGAAAGAACTGAGCATGAAACACAGGGAATATGAAACTTACATGAAATAACTTTTAAAAAAATTGGTTGATTTATCATCAAACCTAAGCTCCAAAATTTATACAAAAGAATGTAGTGATACATGGTGTCGAAATCTGAAAATAAGCAACTAACAAGCGGAACTGCTTCTGCGTCAGGAGGAAACCTCTGTCTAAAAAACTTTATATCAATGTTTAAAGCATATACCTATTTCATTCTTGCTTTTGTAGTTTAACATTAAGATATTATTAAAGATGACACCCCTCGATTCCACTATGTATTGTGCTTTTGGAATGTACATCTACTAATTAAATGAAATTATTTACACCTAGTGGTCTATGCTCTATAATCTGTTTCGATTAACTGATTAAGCTGAAAACTGTTTGTAAGCATATACTATTTTTAAATCATTTTACACCAGTTTTATTGTTTCCTGTAGATCCATGTTTTATCAGAATAATTTTTATGTTTACGCACCGCAATTAAATGCAATAGCTTGCATTAAATTAATAAAGTGGTTTTAATTGTTATATTCCTTGAGATTGCAAAGAGCTTAAATTGATCTTAAAAATAGCCCAAACCTTTGTTTCTTAAGCTGAGTAAGAAATGGAGGGTTCAGAGGCCAAACAGTTAAACTCAGGAAGATTACAAACTGAGATAATCTGCTATTTACTAACGTTAATATTAACAACATAATATAGCGATAGTCCGTGGACCAAAAAAAAGTTGCAAAAAAAGTTATCTAAATTGTTTATACAGGTTAGTGGCTTGGATAACAAATAATATTGTTCGTTGACGTTACAAAGTTCATTAATCAAATAATGTCTTACACTGTTTGGCCCCTGAACCCTCTAAATAATACTCTCAACTTCTTAATTCATTCATTAGATACAATCGTAAATTGTAGACCCTCAGTCGAGAGTGGGGGTAGTCAAATGGTGAACAGGGACAAATTTGCGTTATTTAAAAAAAATTAAATTATTTAAAAGTTACTTTTCGAACATCAATTATTCAATTATTTTGTAACCAAGCCTGTTTTTTATTTCTTTCAGCCAAAATTATGAACACAGGATCACTACCATAACCGTACTACGACAAAATGACTCTAATATGTTCTAAAGGTACTCCATATGTTGTAAGGTTGGCTATAATAAAAAAATAATAATTTTAGGGTTCATTCCCACACGATTCCTCATAGCAGTAATGATATTTTCAGCATGCTTTGTCACCTACACAGTCAGAATTAATATATCTATAAATCTTATAGCAATGGTAGAATCAACTAGAACAAATGCGATTACTTTTGAATCAGAGTGTGTAGTTATTAACAGAAAGAATAACACCCATAATTTGGAAAACAGTGAACCTCCAAAACTGACTTCAACCTCAGACGTAAGTATTTGATTTGCACTTTTTTAAGTACTCAAATGACCTATTTTTAGTACGGAGTAAGGTACAACTGGGATTCAAACATTCAAAGCCTTATTTTAGGTTCTTATTTCTGGGGGTACACCATTACTTGTATTCCTGGTGGTATTTTAGCGGAAAAGATTGGACCTACAAGAACTGTGATGATGGCATCACTCATATCTGGCTTTTTAACATTTATAGATCCATTCGTGGCGTCCTGGAATTATATAGCATTCATATTAACACGATTTCTAATCGGAATGTGCGGAGTAAATACCCAGATAAATTAAAAGTAACTAGAACATTTTTTAGATTTAATTGTAGGGTGTAGTGTATCCCTGCTTCCAATGTCTCATATCGCACTGGGCACCTCCAGAAGAAAAAGGCAAATTTGTTAGTGTACTGTTGGGTGGTAGTGCAGGTACCGTAGTGACCTGGCCTGTTTTGAGTATAATTATTGAAAATCTGGGTTGGTCCTGGTCATTCTTCCTAAATGGTGGTTTCGTAATAATTTGGTCCATTTTATGGATTTTATTGGTGTCAGATAGCCCAGAAACTCATCCCAGGATCAGCGAAGCGGAAAAAGTATACATTGTCAATAGTCTAGGCACTTCAATAAAGCAAACAAAAGTAAAACTTAGCGACAAATGTTCGAAACAATGATATTAACATTTAGAAATTTCAGAAATTACCACCGTACAAAGAAATTGCTTGTTCTGTTCCTTTTTGGGCTTTAATAATTTTACATTTTGGGAGCATCTGGGGTCTATATTTTTTATTAACATACGGGCCGAAGTTTCTCTCATCGGTTTTGGGTTTTAATCTGGGACATACTGGAGTTTTAGCAGCACTCCCGTATTTGATTAGATTAATTGTTGGTTTTATTTCTGCACATATTGGAGATTTAATCAGGAAAAGGAAAATAGTTTCAACGGTAATAGTGCGGAAGTGTTTTATTTTGTTTTGTAAGTCAGCCTATTTAAGTGTTTTACGTTATTAAAAAATAACACTTTTTTGTAATTTAGCACACATTGTCCCAGGAATACTACTTCTGGTACTAATTTTAGTGAAATGTGATCTGACATGGTCGATCGCCATTCTGATTTTATCTTTGGGCTCGAATGGAACTTCTACTGTAACAAATCTGCAAAATTCGCAAGATTTAGCACCAAATTACGCAGGTAGTCTTTACGGAATAGTGAACTGTATTGGTGCTACAGCGGGTTTTATTACTCCTGTGATCGTGGGTCAATTGACGGCAGTAAATGTAAGAATTAGAGTCATATTATTATGTCTGTTGACGTTATGTTTGTAGAATGGTTTGCATGAATGGCACATTATGTTTGGTATTACTGCTACGGTTTACATTGTATCTGGTTTAGTGTTTTATATTTTTGGAAGTGCCGATATTCAAGTATGGAATGAAGAAGAAAAAATTGAGAATTCTTGGAAAGATGGAATTCCAAACCTTGGTTTTGATAACATAGATGACACCACACTTAAAATAGAAGACAAGGCTAAGGAGAGTACCAACGGTGGAATTGGAATGTACTAAAATGTTTTATTACTGCGTTGCCATTCATGTGACAATATATATTTTTCTATAAGTGTGATGTTATTTAGTCAGTACCTAGAAGAAACGAGTGCCGAAATTGATCAATTACGCAAATGTTTCTCATTTACTTATTGTGCGTTTAGTTTTCAAACCAGCACACGTGAGCAAATTTTTCAGTAGGGAACTTTTCGTTATTTTTCCAATGGAGGATGTAATTCTTTTTTTCAATAGTATTGAAAAAAATCATATACCTATCTACTCTTGGTCAGCTACGAGAAACTGCGTGTGCACGTTTATTCTCTAGGGTTTATAAAAGTGAATATTTTCACATTTACTGTAGTACAGTTGTTTGCAACAAATTTCGGGCAAGATAACCAAATCAGGTTCCCATAGATCAATGAAAAGCATTGCCGTTTCATGTCAATGTCATTTACCCGAAATTTTTGGGAACAACGGTAGGTACTCTTAGTATATTATACCAAGATAGCAATAAAAACACGATCAAAGACAGCCATGAACTTTTGGAATGGTGTGTTTGAACGTTACATTTTCAATTAAAACTTGAAGAAAATTCTGCTAAAGGCAAATTTTGAAAAATCCATGGTTGTCTTTGATCGTGTTTTTAATTTCTGTTTTGGTATGTCTAGGAACTAATCCCGACGGTTTTTCATGGTTCGATACGTATCTGAGGGCCACAATAATTTGAAGAATGGAAAGATATTTTAGTGCTGTGTTAGATACGCTATTTTTTGCACTTCTGGAATCAGAAACCTAATACTTGAATTACTTTTTTAATATTTCTTTTTTGTGGACTACTTTGAATAATAAGTAGTGGTAGGTACCATGGACGTTCAAGTAAACAAGACGAGCCATGTTGAAATTTTTTTTAACGTTTGAACATGGACTCTAGCTGAAATTTCGAAAAAGTGCTGCAAAATGAACGCATTTGACTGTCTTGAACCCATTGAAACAGAGGAGGCAGCCGCAGACGCCACTAAAAGTCTTGTCCCTTAGAAATCAGATGGTATAATTTTAGCTTAGTTTGACCAAAAGGGTAAGCAGTTCGAACCACCAACGCTGTGATCGATTTATTAATGTTGAAATCAACGCAAAACTAGTGGGTGTAGGCCAAAATAATAAAAAATTCTCACCCAAAAACAAATGGATAAATTCTTTATGGTAAAAACAGTTTTTGAAAATTACCTCGAGAAATTGCAAAATTTTTAGAACTCCCCAACCAGCAGACATATACTGGTCATTGTTTCTGAAGAAGAGCGTAGATGAAGGAAATGCAACAGGCGATAGAAGGATAGTTACGGTTCAACTATTATTGTATGGTTGGAATTTAACACTTTATGTTTTTTGCGCTAATGTTTATTGTTAATGTAGGAATATTAATTATAATAAGGCCTGCATCACATTTAAAACCAGGCGTACAAATAAAACTTAATTGAATTTATTCTAGCGTTCGTCAGCTACTTTATTAGCTGTTGGTGCCAATACAAGTGTTCTGCAAGTAGTAGATGAAGGATATGTTAAAAGTTCGGTAACAAACAAAATGAAAATCGCAGAAAAAATTCTATTGGATGATAAACCTGCAGATCAAAATAAAATAAAACCCGAAGAATTATTATTATCAGTATACCAATATTCAATTTATTAAAAAAATTAATGTTTTTCCACTAGTAGCATTGCAATGGCTAATTATCGACAATATTAACAATAAGGAAACATTTAATTCTTATTAAAATAATAGTTGATGGTGCAATTATGGCACGTCATATTGATACCAGCAGTCCCTGTATTTGTACTTGAATTGGAAAAACTGGCTGCAGGTATGTCTATCGTGGAGTTACAAATTTCGTACTCTGGACCGCGGGAAATGGACGGGAATGAAACTGAAGTTGATGGGACGAGTGTCATGTGTACTGGTCTGGGTTTTTTAATCCAAGGAATTTCGCTGTAGTATTTGGAGTTTTGCTGATTGTATTATGATCAATATTTTGTCTTGTAGGTTTATCCCCACGGAAACCAATCAATAATTTTGGCATATCAGGGGTAGGTCTTTTTGAAGTGGACTTTCGAATTATCTAGTCCACAGATGTTCTATCACAAAAAATTTTCGCGACGCCCCATTTTTGCTGGTTGGTATATTCACAATGATAATATCCTCCTTAACTATAATGTCTTTCATCTTCATATTACATAACTCATAAGTGCGGCAAGCACCAGCCACTCCCATAACACAGATCACCCATAAGTACATTTTCAGACGTTGTCCCATTTTTTTTCCCAAGCACCAATCTTTAAATTCTGAATATATCTTCAGGTACAGTTTTTCTGATTTTTCTGGAAGTAGCTGTTCTTCCATGGTTAGTGCCGCCTCTTTTATTTCAGGAGGGGTACATGACGGTTCACTTTCCAACATTTTTCACAGAAAAATTATTTAAAACGGGAAATATGGAGGAAATTGAAACAAAAGTTTTGGACTGTCAAAAAATAACAAAATTCCAAAGCTTACTAAAATGACGTGAGTGTACGTTTTTATTAATGCACATCAGAAAAAACATTTTGAAAATTTGCAAACCTCAAATGGGCTAGTAGTGGAAAAAATAGTATATTAACCACGTTTGTGAAGCCAATTCTAAACCTCGCGCTTTATAGCCCTCGACGCTGCTCGTCTCGGGTTCTAATTTGCGCTAGGTCTAGACTGACTGCCTTCACAACCTTGGTTAATAATATACTAATTTCATATCGGTTTACTATCGCGGACCCGAATGAAAAATTGTGAAAATCAGCTGCTGTATAACAGAGAGAAAAATCATGTTTGATCATGTAAAATATCACCTACAGTTCTTCAGTAAATGCGGAAGTCATTGAAATCCATTAGTTTTAAGCGACTCTTTGTTTTACCATAGAGAAAGCTTATTCTTCGAATCCCAAATAAGTAAATTCTGTAAAATTAATAACAAAGATAAATTACTAAATTTCTTAATTTATGAAAGCAAATTCTTAATATAATATAATAATAATATAACCTTTATTGCCAAAATACATAGTATACAACAGGCAATTTCTAATATTATACATGCGAACAAAAATAAAAATTAATTTAGAAAAGACAGAACTCAGATATAACAAAAAGAAAAAAAAATATTCGTCTATAAAAATAATTACATACCTACATACTATAAGGGGGGAAAAAAATACCGTAACAAAATTTCGCAAAAATAATTTAGGATACATCATTCTACAGTGAAAGCAAATGCAAATACCGTCTAAGGGTTTTGGAACTACAGTGAAACAGGTCTAAATCTTCGGATATAGCGTTGATATATCTAGCAATACGGACAAATGGAGAATTATAACCGTAGTGTGTACGATGAACACCGATGACTACAGTTTCATGTATTCGAATATTGTAATTTCCAAAGTTTTTTCTTAATGAATTGACATAGGTCCAAAAATATTTAGGGTTGGTATTGATATTGTTTTCGGTGTAAGATATAAATTTCTTGTAGTCTTCATGAATCAAACTTTTAACAGAATTTCTGATTTCCTTGAATTTATTAAAGTATCCTATATCATGACTAAGTTTGAATTTTTTAAATAGTCTATTTTTTTTTTCTTTATAAGTAATTTAGTGCCTTTGGAGAACCAATTTGGAAATTTATTTTTAGCAACAACAGATTTAGGGATAAAGATTTCAATAGCCGTCCTTAGAACGCTGTAAAAAATATCAAAATTTGTCCTAATATCATTAGTTGAAAACAAACCATTCCAATTTATAGTAGAAAAGTAGTCGTTAATATCATCATAGCGAGCATTTTTGAAGTTAAGTTTGTAAGCTAAGTTATTACAGACAGGTGTATAAGCGAAAGACAGAGGAAATTTTATGTTAAGGGGTCGATGATATGGGTCAACATTCGGTACAATGCTATAGCTGTCTTTCTGAACTTTAACATTTACTACATTCGAGAGTCCGAGGTCAAGACAGGAGTTATTACAATTTAAAACATGGTTAAACTGATGAATATCCAAATAGTCTTCTTACTTGTCCACTAGGGGCTCATGTAGAGGAACCAGTACATGCCTTTTATTTACCTATTTTAATAACGATAACGCTTATTGGTTGAGCATGATTAGTTTAAGATCTTCTTGCTTGGAAAAGTTAAAATCAAAGACCCGCTATATTCCTGGGCACCCTATACCTTTATTGGTAAGTATTTTTTTGTTTCTTGCACATGTTGCACCAATAAAACCAGTTGCTCAATTCAGAGAAGAAAGCCTAATTTCATAGAAGAACTCATCAAGACATCTACCAGTTTCTTCTAAGGCAGGATTAAGCGCGGAATCATGCAATATGCGGTTTCAACGAAAACTATCCAATTTGGTATGGAGGACGATTCTAAAAAATCTCTTTTGTGCATATTGCGTTTGATTCAGAACAACAGAATAAATACCTGAAATCTGAGAAAATCTATTTTATTATCATGATAAATAAAGAAAACGAACTGAAAATACAATATAAATTTTAACGATTCTGAAAGTTCAATATTATACCAAAACTTATTATAAGATGTTATATTTATCGTAATAACAATAATTTTTGACTCTTTTTAAAATTCTCAGTCAATTAAAAATCAAAACATATTTCAAATTATGGAAATTTCTGAACGCGGTTTTCATCACTGTTTTGAGCTCTATGCGTTAGGTGGGAAACATTGTCGATTTCTTTTGTTGAAAATGAGACAGAGCAAAAGCAACTTCTTCGACACAAGCTTCTTTTTAGTGCCTCATTTCCGACAAAAAAAACCGCAATGTTTACCGGGTAACGCATAGAGTTCTGTAAGCTGATTTTTAAAGACAAGTAGGGAAACATTTCACCAAAATGCTAAAAAGAAGATAACGATAAAATATTTTTAAAAGACTTCTCGTACATCATATAGCGGAAGGTGTGAACAGGTTATATTTAAAATTTCATGGCAATAAGTCTGTAAACAACGGAAATATTAATTAGTTCTGACAATGTGTTCAAAATCAGTAATTTTC